GAAGTGCACACACTGTGTGCACTTCCTCTTAGTCCGGCCGGGTACAGGAGACAGATGCTCCCTGTACCCGCGGACTATACAGGGCTCGGCCACGCTACAGAGAGGGAGTGACAGGAGGGAGCGTTGAGCGCTCCCCTCCTGTCAGCCCCTCTCCTCAGGCTGCGCCCGGGCTGTGCGGTCCGCCCTCATGGACGCACCGCCCGGGCAAAGCTGCAGCCGCCTGAGGCTCTCTACAGAGCGCTCGGGCTGCTGCAGCATGAGCGGGGCCGGCACTCCTGGCAGCGCCCCCTCCCAAGGGGCGCCCTAGGCGGCTGCCTAGTCCGCCTTACAGTAGCGCCGGCCCTGCGTATATGTAATAATCATATATTTCAATGGATTCGGCAGTTTCTGTGTGTGTGTATATTCGGCTTGTATTTACAAGGCACTTTATTTACATTAAATAAATATAATTTGGCAGTGTGCATGTGTGTATATGTATATATAAGGCAGTATGTTTGTAAGTATGTGTATGTATAAGGTAGTTTGCTAAGAGCGGGGAATACTCCACACACATAAATTATTTCAGCTTGCTGAAGTGCTTTATATGTCTGGAGTTGGTCATTTTCACGACATTTTATAAAACTGTTGATTTCAATAGAAATCAGACCTTTTAAAATTGGGGGCAATGACCCCTGCCTGTCTGTCACAAAGCTAGGAAGCATTTCTTACACTTCCTTTAGCTTCAGAGCTAACAGAAGAGGCAGATGTGCTGTACTAGCGTGCACCTTCCTTCTCCCTTTCTCAATGAGCTTAACTAGAGCTCAATGGGATATATAGGAAAGGTGTGATCGAGTGTGCATGCGCACAATTGTGGCCACAGAGGCTTCTCATTAAGAAGCTGCTAATTGGAGGGCTTGCATGAAAAAAAGAATATTTTCTTTGGGTGTATATCTACTAAATTGTTAAAAAAATTCAGTGGAATGTTTCCTTTTGGAGTTCAGTGAATAAACTTGTGACACTAGGAAACTATCTCCTGAGGCGGCGGCAAAATGGATATTTGCCTTTTTGCGGCAAAATTCCTTGCACAGGCCCTGGTGGTGTGAGCAGGGATCTAACCCTGCTCACCCAGCAATTTTTATATAGGCATTTAAATGCCTATTTCCTGTGTTGCTTGCAGCACTGACTTGCATTGGAGGCAGCTCCTCAAAAAGACTTGGGCCTTAAAAATGGACCCAGCAGATACCAGATACCTATGGCTCTCAGGTATGAGCAGATATATAACTCTGCTCTCTCCAAATCTGCTGGGCATCCATGTAGTTCTACACTCTGTGTAGGACAGCATTGAACATCCTATTGGCGGGACGGGGTTAAAGTAGACAATATTTTCTTTTTTTTTTCTTTTTTCAAATTCAAATTATACTTTTATTGTTCAGGAATGGTTTGAGGATCGGAACAAAGATTTAATGGTGTTATCGCGGCCTTCCAAATTTCCCAGATATCAATCTGATTGAGCATCTGTGTGGAAACACCACCTCGCAACTCGCAGGGATTAAAGGATCTGCTGCCAATATCTTGGTGCTTGATAACACAGGACAAGTGCAGAGATCTTGTGGAATTCATGCCTCAATGCATCAGACAGCACGAGGGGGATCTACATTATATCAAGCAGGTGGTTTTAATGTTGTGGCTAATCAGTTTATGTGGTAGGCAAATAGTAATTTCAAGCAAAAAGGTTATGCCTAGGCAAATTTAAAACGTAATTTGCCTAGACAAAAGTTTTTATCTAGCTTGTTGTGTTGTAATCAGGTACTTGGCACCTATTGGATAGCAGAGGCCACTTACTTCAGTGCCTATTGTCTAGTTCAGGCCAGTTTCCAGAAGTGTCCAGTCACCTATTGGGTATAAGGGTACCCTTTCTCAGGTGTGATCGTCGTTTTTTATCAAGAGACACTTTCCTGTTGTCCCTGGATGCCTATTTGCTAGCAGGTACCACTTTCCCATTGGCTGTCAGGGTCCATTTCTATAGGTATGAGCATGTTTTGGTGGGCATGGGAATCTTACCTAGGGTTACCTGGGCACCTACTGAGTAGCAGAACCTATTTCCCAAAAGTGCCTATGGTTCCTGGGACATATTGGTGAGAAAGAACTACTTTCCTTGAAGGATCCTGGTGGCTATTATTGACCAAGTGCCTCTTTCCTGGGGTGCCCGGATGTGTATTAGTAAGCAGGGGTTATTTTCCTGTAGAGCGTGACCACCTACGTGAAGGCAGGGGCCACTTTCCTCACCCACCTGTTAGTGAGCAGAGGCCACTTTCCTGAAGCACCCTGGGCATCTATTGGCAAACAAGGGCCATGTTCATTCCTTGTTGCTTATTTGCGAGTAAGGGACACTTTCATTAACTGGTTCCTAGGCGGCTATTGGCAAGCAAGGGGCCACTTTCCGAGGGTGGCTGGGTGTTTATAAATGGCTATTAGTGAGAAGGAGCTACTTTCCCAGGTTGCCTGAGATGGCACCTGCTTCTTAGACAAATGACTTTAAAAACTGAAGTAAAAACAACCCTGTAAGAAACGTGCCCAATATTTGCCTTAATACTAGTTACTTAATACCTAGGTAATTGTGTTGTAAAGATCAAATAACTATTTGCCTAGGCGAAAAGTTTTTTTTGCCTAAATTACAAGTTTCCTACCACATTTACATACATACAAATTACCTTTCAAACCCAATACTAGAGTATTTCATGCTTAATTACACTTTAATTTTCTGTCTGCTAATCTGCACAATTCCACAGTGAATCTTGAGGCACCCCATTGACACTTAATTGTTAAGTGTGCTTCTTGGGGGCAATAATTCTGCCATGCGAAGAGTTTGTTGCAAGGAGACAAATGTTTTCTTTACTATGTCTATTGTTAGATGGTTACTCACTAAAGTGAGAATTCAATGTGAATTTAAAATTTAAAGGGACACTACATTTACCAGAACAACTACCGCTTATTGTATTTGTTCTGATGAGTAGAATCATTCTCGTCAGGCTTTTTGCAGTAAACACTGTCTTTTCATAGGCTGGTGTTGCCATTTACTGCTCAAAATGGTGGACATCACTTTATATACATTCACGGTTTTTAGTTTCTTCTCCAAATGTGAAGTGTTCCAAATAATATTGAGCATTCTATAAATATTTGTCTTCTGGAAATGTTATTCTAAAGTATATAGCTGTTTAAATTTTGTGCAATACAATTTATTAATAATACACTTTCTTTTTAGGAATGTGACATGGAACAATTTAGCCATTCCAGATACTCACTGTTCACCAGAAGGAGAAGGTTATCAGTGTCCCAAAGGCTTTAAGTGCATGGATCTTAATAACCTTGGACTGACCAGGCAAGAGTTTGGCTACAGTGGCTTTAATGAGATAGGTTTGTCAATTCCTTAATTATATTTTATTTAAATTTTGCATGCTGCTCTCTCTCACGCATTCTCTCTCTCTTTCTCTTCCTTGATAGATAATTAGATAGATTGATAGATACATAGATGACAAATAAATGCTACATAATGATTTTAATATGCTAATAATTTATTTGATTCACATAAAATCTAAAATATATAACGCATTCAAATATATAATTCATAAAGTTTGCTTGCACTGTGCAATTATAAAAAAAATCATATTAACATTCCAATAAATTTATTAACACCGCAGCGCATACTAGGGGGCTGCGTGACAACCACTGCAATCCCCCTGCAGCAAATCCGGCCAATCTGGGCCATGTGACATCGCAATCTCATGACCGAATCGGCAGTGTGCAAAACTAACTGCAGGGGGACTGCCTGGGTTGTCAGGCATTCACCC